AGTACCTCCACTTCCTTCCCAAGATTGCTGCAACCCTCATCCATAGACCAATCTAGACCAAACTTAGCACACAGAGCCCCCATGACCCACTCTACATCCTGCTGCAGTTTGAAGGAGGATGGACTTTGGATGATGGGACTTGCATTACCTTCACTCACTTACTGAAACCACTACCACCCTCATCCAATGGCTGATAAAGACCAAACTTGGCACACAGAGCCCCCATGACCCACTCTATATCCTGCTGCTGTTTGGAGAAGGGTGGACCATGGATGATGGCACTTCAAGTACCTTCACTCACTTCCTGAAAACAATGCAACCATCATCCAATGACCAATAAAGACCAAACTTGGCATAGAGAACCACCATTACCCACTTTCTCTAATAACCCAGGCAGCGCCGGGTCCCCAAGCTAGTTATAATTAAAGCTCAGACATTTTACTTTTTTGTACTTCAACTCTCAGAATTTCCTGTGCCAGATGGGAATTGTTTTGCAAGTTCTGATTATATCTTTGTAGGTGTTGTGACAAGTCTCTTAGTATTAGTTATGAATAATTATTCCAGTATTTTCCTCTTGATATAAGAGAAACCCAAATATGTTTCACTTGCTACATCCTATTTTCCACAGCACCTACTTCCAGAAAACTTGGAGCATAATGGCATTCGGTCTCTTACACTGCCCCCTTCCACTACATCTTCATTGGCATTTGATTTTGACTGGAGGGTCCATTTAGCTGTCCCTAACTCATACAGTAACTCCTGCTTTCATACCTTCCTCTTATCCATTTTAATGCTTGCTAAGATCACTCGCTTAGGTGGCCTTTTACATGTATTAGAGGAAATAATGTTCATCACCACATTGTGTTGCCACTCCGAGTCCTTTCAGGGAGATGAGGTGGGGTATAAATAATATAGATGATGATGATGATGATGATGATGATTATTATTTGAAACACAACAAGATAAGTCCACAGCAGACAAGATCACTCTGCTGGCTGTTGTATTGGATCACATGTCGGATACTTCCCAAGTGTCTAAGACTGTGTGATGTATCTGTGAATAATGTGTGCAGATCCTAGTAAGGTGGCCTTCGGCAGCTGGCAGATAGTAATTTTGTCAGTGCCAATTGTGTTTAAGTGCAGGCCAAGGTCTTTAGGCACTACACCCAGTGTGCCAATCACCACTGGGACTACCTTTACTGGCTTGTGCCAGAGTCTTTGCGGTTCGATCTTTAGATCCTCATATTGTGTCAGCTTTTCCAGTTGTTTCTCTTCAATTATTATTATTATTATTATTATTATTATTATTATTATTATTGATTTCATATTAATTGTGCAATGTATGGAGTAACATCTTTTGCCTGCTGAACATCTGTGCCTAACTAATGTCCTTGTGAGATCCTGTTCTAGGATCAGTTCTGCTTCCTTTTAAAAAGATCCTTGAACAGTTGTCCATTTCTGCACATCTTTCCTCAATCTTTACCATAACAAAACAGGCAGCTTCTGGTCAAAAAAATCCAACCCATGTAAGCCCACCACCACAAATTTAAAGCTGTCCTGCCAATGGTCATTGGTGTACTGGGACTGAGAGGGATAATACTTTCTAAAACTAAATATGTTAGCTCCAAAAATTTCAAAATATTTCCAGACAATGATACTGC